CAGACAAGAATTCAACAACCGGCAGACACAGCAAGAGGGAGGTTTGGATAATAGGGGTTCAAATAATCAGGATTCCAGAGCATACTGTTGTCCCTGTGTTGCTGATTTCTTTCTTTAGCCCCTCTGTGGTTCACTCATGTGACTCTAGGTCCAACCGTGACAATTAGCTACTAGGTTATGGCTTGGGAAGTACAGATTCTGCTCACATCTGTCTCTAGGAGATAAAGGAGGAGGCAGCTGGGACTGGCACATTGTACTGCATCTCAGCTCTCTCACAACATCGATCCAGGATCCCACAGTAGCTAGGTGAAAGGATGGATAACGAGGGGGGGGGGGGGGGAGAGAGGAAAAAAGAGGCATCAGAGGCCAACACACTGCACTGCCTCTCAGGACATGTCTTCACGACAGGCTGGATCCATGAGGCAGTGAAGGAACCAGTGGACAAACCCATCCCATCCATAGGGTGGTTTGGGACCCCAAGCCCTGCGCTTTGGGGGACTGCGTAGCAGCTGAATCAACCATCCTATGGACGGGAACCGCAGGGCCCAGGGCGGCCCCAGGGGTTACCAGGGAGACTTGGTGTAGGGCAGCACCAGGGGTGGGGCTCCCCACACTCACTGCAGCGGCAGGAGCGGCAGCCTGCTCCGCTCTGCCGCTCATCTCCCAGCCCACCGTGCTCCACTTCTATGTTTCTCAACCTTTTTTTATAAAGTACTCCTTTAAAAAAAAATTGTAAGCATCCCTAGTGCCTACAATTTTCAGACACATCCAATTTTTTTCTACATTGCAACACATTTGTTTAAACAACTTAATTGTAGCCGTGCGGGTAATAAAATTTTTGGGTGTAAAAAGTACAAAAATAATAAAACGCAGTAAAACTTAAAACAAAAATTCTGTTTTCTCCAAATTTCAGTTGTGGTGCCGTTCCCCCCAGACTTCTCTCAAGTACCCCTAAGAGTACTCATACCACTGGTTGGGAAACACTGGTGTAGACCTTCCCTTTGAACATGTCACCTCAGAGACTGATCACATGAATTACATCATAAATATATGGTGAAATAAAATGCCACCTTTTCATCTGGGGGAAATTAGTGGAAGAGGCCATTCAGATTTAGCTGTAAAGAACTAACAAGTAAACTCATGGGCGGGGTGCTGTTTTTATGGCACTGATCACATATCACTTTCATTAGAAGGGCACTGCCAAGTAAAATTTAAAAAGTAATTTCTTCATCTTCCAACCTCTTAGAAGCACGAAAAAACAAAACAAAAAACATTCCTGGCTCCATTTTTCTATTTGGCAAACATTTTTTCTTCTTCCTTTGCTATTTATGGCCCTGCCACATTTACTCCCTTGACTGCCATTTGCGTCCTCAGTGACATCAACATTGTGAAACAAAAGGATGTCTTTTTTTCAATTTAATTTGTGCATTCCCTGCTGGCTGGCTGGCTGCCTGTCTGTGCAGCAGCCTTCCACAGATATTGGCAATTTTCAGTTAAAATTGATCAAAGCCTACCAAAGAAAAAATTAAAATTCACGTTTGATAAATCTCTACATTTTTTGCACTTTTGACGAGTATTTCTGGAAACCCCAAACACTCCAATGTCACTGAGAAGTCATGCTCAGTAGTGTAGGGCTCTGTAAAGATCTGATTTTTTCCAGTAGTTCAAAGAGAACCATATTTTTAACACAGAATAAAACTTGAAAATTAGCCATAAACGTATCTAAAAATAATCATACAATCACAACTATTAAAAAGATGAAGACCAGTAACCATAGTTACTACCTAATCAAGTATAATCAATAATGAAAATGTTTTGTTTACTGCTGGGAAATGAGGAACATTGCCTTACTATATCATACTGGTTATTCATTTCATTTGATTTCCTGTCTCTCTCAGTACCCAGTACCAGATACCTGAACGGAAGAAACCCCTTAGGCTACATCTAACACTGCACATCCATTTCAAAATAAGCTATTCAGGAATAGTTATTCCGAAATAGCTTATTTCAGAATAGCACGTCTACACTGCAGGGAAACCTCAAGATTAGTCCAAGGCAGGCTTCCCTAATATAGACGTGCTACCTCGATTTAGATCCCCAGGAGGTACTAGGGAGGAATAACGTAGAACAGCCCTGGTGAGGGACTATTTCGAAATAGCAGCAGTGGAGCGTCTACATATGTCTTATTGCAAAATAGCTACTTCAGAATAGGCGTTATTCCTCATAGAATGAGGTTATAGATTTCAGAATAAGCTGCCCATTATTTTGAAATTATTTCATAACAACAGAATGGCTCTGTAGACGCTCGCATAGTTATTTCGGAATAATGGCTGTTATTCCGAAATAACTTTGCTGTGTAGACATACCCTTACTGGGCTACTATGAAATAACTGCCCATAAGGAAATTTTCTTCTTGACCACCGACATTCAGAGGTTGGTTTATTCCCTGATGCATGAGAGTTTATTATATAACTAATGCACTTTTATCCTAATTCACACAAATTTTCATGTTTTAATTCTCCTTCAAAATGTCTAATACTTTTTTGAATCCTACTAAGATAGTGGCTGCAATAACTTTTTGTGGTAGGGAGTAACATGGGTTAATTATACATTATGTAAAGTATATTTGTTTTACATTTGTTTCACAATCACTGGATGCCCTCTTACATTATTAGACATAAGCAGGAGTACATTACTGACTTTCTCTTTGTCAGTTAATATTTTGTATACCTCTAAAAAGTGAAAAAAGTGTGAACTTAAAATACAACAAATGGTCTGGTAGCGCTTTATAGACTAACAAAACATGTAAATGGTATCAAGAGCTTTCATGGGCACAGCCCACTTCTTATACCATCTATATGTTTTGTTACAGGCAGTCCCTGGGTTACGTACAAGATAGGGACTGTAGGTTTGTTCTTAAGTTGAATTTGTATGTAAGTCGGAACTGGTACATATTGTAGGGGAAACTCTAGCCAAACATTTCTCCAGAGCTCAGTTTTATTCTCCCACACCTCACTTCCCTCAGTCCTTTATTCTCAAGCTGAAGTGTCTGCTGAGAAAAGCCGCTCCGCGTCTCCCTGGTCTGCTAGAGGGGGGCGCTAGCTTCGCGTCTCCCTGGTTTGCTGGGGGGAAGCAGCTAGTGCGGGGTTGCCTCACCCCGTTTGTAAGTAGCGATCCGATGTAAGTCGGATCCATGTAACCCAGGGACTGCCTGTATTCTATAAAGACCAGACCATTTGTTGTTCTTAAAGTTTATCCTGTACAGACTAACTCGCTACCCCCTGAAGTGTCTGAAAAAAAGTGTGGTTATTTTATAAAGAGAATGAAAATTCAGGGGAAGTTTACCAGTTTATAACCATTTTAAAGAAGGCCAGATTTGGGGTATGCTCTACATGACTATGTTCCTTTAAACTTATTCAACAGGGGGGCAGGAGAGAAATCAAGCTTCTAGTACAAGATCCTACTTGGAGCTAAAGTTTATCTTTTAAATATCCCTGGAGAGATATGTCTGGACTGATGGTCCACAAGACCTTGTCATGATTGAGTCTGACTTACCCTGTTTGAGCATTCTGATGTCTTCATGACATAATCCGATGCAGCAAAAGCTTCCTTAGTGGCTATGTCTGAAGGAGGATAAGCCAGGGTCTAAATGCTACCTAGCATCCATATTTATCCTTAATGGCTATATAAATTCAGCCCATGAGACAGAAAACATTAATTAGACAGACCCTGCCTTTGGCAGTAATCACTGTCTGTGACAGCTGAACCAGCCAGTAGATAAAATATGCACCAAACATTACATTAGAATAAATAGACAAGGACCATAAGAAAACAACACAACCAACTCACCCTGTTTCTTCTGGGAATGCAAATAGCACTTCACACCAGCCTTTGGGGTCTGTTTAGGTATCTGCCTTTCCTCAGTTTAGGGACCTACTCCTGCTTCAGATGGAGTCATTGGGAGTTACGCAACTGGCTTCAAAGGGAGCAGGAGAGAGCCTGTATTTTATGTCGACTAGTCTTTGGTTCTGATCGCAAAGGATAAGAAAAAGAAAACGTCTAGCAGTCTAATGCTAAATTCCCGACTCAAGGCCACATTGTGATACCAGTGAAAATCCCCAGCAAGGGGCTCATTTGAACCCAGCTGAAGTACACCGAGAGACTCCCATTGACTGCAATGGACTTTGGATCAGGCCTTAGATACATTGGTCCCAATAGAATTACTCTGGATTTGTGACAGAGCAACTGAGTTCAAACGCCAGTCCTCTGTCCTCACTAAGGTGAAACTTCCATTGACTTCACTGAAAAATTTTGCTTGAGTTTACTTCAGTTTTTAGCCCTGGGAGAATAGTATTTTCCACAATGCTCTTTCCACACCCTCTCCCACTGTGATTTGATTGGGTTTTGCGGCGGGTATGAGAGCACAAGACAACCTGAGTTTGAAGGAAAGAATCAAATTTCTCTCACTGACCCAGACATTTGGTGAATCCTCTAGAGAGCATCAGCCTTAGAATGGGTCAGATTTGCTTTGCTCCCGACCCTAGACAGACCCTAGACAGACGGGGAGAGCTATTAGCTTGAAGGAGAGCAGGTAGGGTAGGCTCAAAGCAGTGGGGTGGGATAATAGGCAGAAGAGGAAAGCAGATGGGCCCAGATTGGGAACTGCTAATCTTAGATGCCTTCGGTGGGAGTGAAGAAATCAACACCACACAACCCCCCTCC